CGAAGTAAAACGAGAGAACCACGTTTGTATCGTCTCTACTGTTAATTACGTGTTCGAAGAATTCTAGGTGACACGTGACACAAGATTTCTTAGACAGAAATCCATGCTGCGAGGAGTTCATAAGTTTGTGATATGAAAGGTGAGAAAAGATGGCGTTTTTCACTAATTTCTCCACTATACGCCAGAGGACAGGTGTTATATTGATGGGGCGGTAATTTCCCAGGTAGAGTCTGGAGCCTTTCTTAAGGCACGGAGTAATATGGCTAGTCTTCCATGAAACTAGGAAAATGCCAGAGTTTAAAGACTGGCTGAATATTTTCGCCAGCAAAATGAGGAAGCCCGCGCCGCCATTTTTAATGGAAGTCCCACGTATCCCATCTACTTCCCCACTAGAAGAGGGTTTCAGTGAGTTTATTGCGTCACGTACTTTGCTTAGGTTAGGGTTGGGGTTAGGGTGCTCTAGTGCTCCGGTGTCATTGGGCGTAGCAAAGCTGCAATTACTATTAGTGTAAGAAAGGCTAAACGTTTTGCTTAGTATTTCACACATCTCTGTGAGGTTTGTAACGATCCTGTTGCCAACTTTCAACATATTCAGCACGTCAGCTATATTGAAGAGTTTCTTTCTAGGAGAAGTGGCAGCAGACCCATTTTTCGCATGTTTCAGAATTTTATTCTCAGTAAGGGTTTCACTTTTTCGTCTGTGAACGTCCAGGTAACCGAAAACGGCGTGGATACTAAGAACGGCAGAAAAGTCATGGGATGTGAAAAATTTCCTCTCAGTCTCCTTAGTTTTTGCCTGAATGTGACAGGAATGTAGTCTTTGATGTTAATATGCGACTTGTGTGCTTTCTTTGGGGCTACGGAGTCGAGACAAATGTTTAAATTGAGATAGAAGTTTGCGGAGAGTTGTTCAGTTCATCGCATGAGAAGAATTTGTCCCAGTCTAGACAGCCTATCAAGTGTTATGAGCTTGGCCAATCGACGTCAACGAGACTTCTGCGACCGAGTGTTGCAGGCTTCAGTAATGTGGGACTACACCTACATGGCGCAAAGACTTGACAAGCTACAACCTTGTGGTAACCTTCCGGGAATTCGCTGCTAGTATGTATGGTGAATTGTGGTGTGTTGTTTAAAACATCAGGTCAAGCATATTATTTCGTCGAGTACAGCTGTTAACAACCTGAACCCATCTATTGGTTTCTAAGGTATGAAAGAATGGCTTGAAACGACATGGTCCTTGCAGTGTCTCTCATATGATACCCGGCATATTAAAATCACCACTTACTACTGTACAAGATAGTAGGGGTGATAGCAGCTTGAAAATTTCTCTGATATGTTCGTCAGCGGCAGGCCAAGCATAAGGTACCTATACAGGCAACCAACGGTGATGAACAGATCACCCAGCATGAGAGCCAGACTGGATCGGCTATCAGCAATGGTCATTCATGGAACTTGGGAGCTAGGGATGAAATATTTGAGACAGAAATCCACCCATGGTATCCGACAATGGTAGTGGCTATCTGCATGGGGAAGCTGACAGAATCGGAGCGATGATGAGCTCGAACCCCACATCCCCAGATCTGACAATATGGGCCTCACCTGAGTTGATGGTAGTCACTTCAGGATGCATAGAGAAAACATACCACAACGTTAATCATACAATCAGTGGTGATTTTAATTGCCGTGGAGAAAACCTATAGCTCTCCAGTAACATAAAGCAATATTCCTTTGTTCGTCCAGGCTACCATAATGAAGGCCTGAGGGATCATCTTGAAATGACAGTGACAGCACAAACCAGCGCAAGATAGCCTTTTTGGGCTGAATATACTGAAACTGGCCAGTGACCTATGGCTTCTTATAGCCTTGGAAATAAACTTTTGAGGTAAAGCATCACGAGAAGTCCCTCCGCAAGTTCAGAGGGCTCAGAGGTAAGACGACTTGAACTAGATCCATTTATTAAGCCCTATGGAAACTTGTGCATCATCTGATGTTAGTGACACTGAAATGGTCATAGACGATATGTCCTTTTTCAGGGGAGACAAGGAGCACACGGAGAGAGATAGAGCAATAGAGTATCTGCTTTATCACTTTCGTTGTAATTGCACAAATTAGTTGGTCTGATAACACCTCATGAACAGACACATCAAGTACCTGGTAGGGGGGGTTCGTATGACATCTGCTGGCCACATGAAAGAAACGTAACCACTTTTTCAAGTAATATCCGCTTTGTTTACAGTTATTGGTTGGCTGGAGTTCAACGCATAGGCTCTCAACATTGGACACACAAATATCACGCATAAGCTGGAGTTTGTCCGTAACTTGTTTAATACTTTTCGGAAGGCTGGGCTGTGTTAGAAGATCGGAAAAGATACCCTTTGGTGACTAAGCGGACAACTAGTAAAATTGGCTATCTTCTTACTAGCAATCACCTGCTAGCAGGGACCAGCCATGACTTAGGGAAACCAGATCCTCAAACGTGGATTTTTTATGTTCGGCTTCATAAGCTTATCTGACAGAAAATTCGAATTGTTTTCAGCTCCTTTTTCTGCCCAACATGGATAGCTAATATTTATAGCTTTCAACAACGCTACCTCCCCGTTCGTTGATCTTCCGCCTTTACCACATTAGTTTGTTCGCTTGCCACAACGACGCCCACGCTGCATATAAACATGAGGGGTGCCCCCTAGATACTGAAGTTTTGACCAAATTAGCCTTAATTCAGACCAGTATTCTCTCGTTCCCCACGTTAGATGTGTAAGTCATCGTTCATTCAGCAATTAGTTTACACATCTGTGGCCAACCGCTTCTGAACATCTGGATAGTGACACCATCCGACGTGGTCTTCAATACACGCTTATCGTAGGAGAGCTTTCACCCTTGCTTCTCTCGCAGAAAAGGAGACTAAGTGGTGCTGAACCAATGTCTTTTGATGGCCACATGGTCCCATGATTCCGGTTCCTTTGCAGCCGACTATTTATGGGGACTAGTGGGAGACGTCATGGAGGGGGGCGGATTGTGAGATAATCCGCTTGGTAATTATGACGCTAAAAAAGCTTTCAAGAAAAGAATCAGGTCACAGTACGTATATGGCTACAAAGGATCAGGGTGGCACAAAGGTAAGGAGGCATAAGAATCTGTTCCAAATGAACTTTGGTTAGAGACGTGAAGCGAACCTCTGAGATCCTATGTTGGGGCGATCTTCTAAATAAATAAATAAATAAATGTTTTATTCTCGAGTTAAAAAAAGATCTTCTAGCCACGAAGTGTGTTTCGTTAAAGTTCTAAGATCCCTCGGGTCCCACTCTACGGGATGCGCTTTGATCTGGTCATTGGTTAACACGGTATTCTTCTAGTTAAAACTCTGTAGTAGGATAACAGTGGTCAATTCTTAGTTGGTCGAGAGTGTTTGAACATCAGGTTACACTCAAGTTGAGATGTACACTCTCTTACCTTGTCATAAGCAGTCATTCCTTGTCCGTTGTCACTCTCTTTTTTATTTGAATGGCTATTTGTGTAACTTCAACTCCTCATTTCTGCCGTACGCTGACGACATTTTGGTGTGGATAGCTTAGAGATCTGGAAGGGGCTCGAACGCACCATATGATTATCTTGAAACGCTTGAGGGGGAGTGGAACATTATGGGTCGGCATTCGCCACGGATGAATATCTAGCACCAAAGTTTTTTGTTATTTTGAAAAAGCAGAGGATTCTAATGTATCTGCGGTGTATGCCTCTCTCACACGACTTTGTAAGCGGATACAAAGATCTGGGTTTGATCTTGGCTGACATTCTGGATCCCTGTTCTAGTTGTCTGGGCGATATCTACGGGTACTATGTTGTATCGCACTTTGCATGTGGGCTCCTAGATGCCTGCATATCAAGGCATACAGTTCATACGGACTTATTCGTGAGTCCACGATGAGGTTTACAACATTTCTGCGCCACCACAACGGAAAACGAACGCGAATCTCTTCAATAAAGCCACAAAGCTTGTCTTATGGTGGAGGACAGAATCTTACGGAAATAAACTGGTGACTCAATACTGTAGGAAACGTAGCTACCGCGGGAGATGCGATAACATTATAACTGGTCATTAGGTTCTAAGTGAGCAAAACCATGCTAATAGGGTGATATTACTCTACGCTCACTTATGGGAACTGTCGTGAAACCAGTAACAGGATCACCCACAAAACAGTAGAGCTTCGCACCCAAACATATCTCTTCATTCTGTGAGTCTGTCTGGTGAGGTAACCGCTACGTCATATGTTGATAGGTTCGAGGAATTTTGAACGGCTGCACAGTGACATCGATGGCAGTTTTTTCAGTTATCATGAGGATTCGCCTGTGGTAGATAACTGACCTCTCATCAGTATAACATTTTCTGTTACTTCCAGTCTTATCTTCTTTTCTTGCCACCAGTGGTACGGACGCGACTCTATCTTCCATCTGTTGAAAATGACTCGTTTGTTCACTCATTCTAACAAACGTCTTGCCTCTACAGCGGCTGTCAAATTGCAATAATGATCACCGCTCCTACTTCCACTTCACTTACTGTGACATTTCCTGCTCCTTTCCTACCATTTCAATGTTTTCTGTTCAAACCTATCCAAATGAATCATTCTTACCATCAATTTACATTCGTTCTCTCTTCTCTGTATTTATTTTCAGTCTCCCCTTGAATATTGGGTATTGAACAATTAAAACCCCATCAGGTTTATCAATATTACGGTGAGTGATACGTTGGAATAATAAAACCTGACATCCACCAAAACTCGGAACCATCGTATCAGCAACCACAATAAAAGCCACAGGTTTAAACAAGCCCATGAAAGAATTGGGTAATGAACTCCTGGAAGAGTACTTATAAATTATTGTGCTACATTGGTCGGTGTTGCACTTTTGGAGTATTTTCCTTCGACTTTCGAGTATATCTAAGAATTATCTCCTAGCTTTATCGTTTTTGAAGTAGTTTATCGCGTTCTACCTTAAGATAGAACTAGGACTATAAATTTCTAGTTAGGCTCATCAGACTGCCCTACTTTCCATCTGCGAATTATTACGACTTGTCGATCTCTTTTATTGCTGAATGTAAGCACATTTTGTTTTCTTGATAAGTTGACAGCCCACATTCTTCTCTCCTCTTCCAGAATATCGGTGTCACTGCCAAACTTACCTTGCTGCTCACCTTCTTGCAACACAGAACCCACCGGGAGACGGAGATTTACTAACAACTGGTCATTACAGTCGTAAGTCTTTCGTACCTATTACACCTTATGATGTGGTGCACAAGTCTCTTGCCACTTGGAAGTATAGGATCCGCGACATAAATGGACCCTATGTCTTTCAACTTTAATATTTCATAGCGACATGTGGTGCTGATTTGAAGAGTACACTCTATCCTTAGTAGGTGGTCGAATGTTTCACAGTCTTCGTAAGTGGCTCAGTTTGACGAAATGCAACTGAAGCTCTTGTGTCAGTTCTGTAATTTCGTTACCCAGTAATCCACCTGGTCTGATTCACCTTTCTGAGTGAAGCGCTCAACGCAAAACTGATTCTGTCCCTCCCAGACGATCTGTCAGCGCGTACAAGTTCTGAATCGCCATTTTGCATTAAGCTGATGAAAAGCGCATCAAAAATATTCCTAGATTTCGAACCAAGGTGTTCAAAAAATTCTGCATAGTGTTAGTCTTTATTCAAAACGGTCTTATCATCTACGTTGCATCTCTTAAGGAGACCGCTGCAACGAGAATAATCCTAAAGTCAAATGAACAGGGGTAAACCTTTACGAACATGTCTGTGATGAAATTAAGTATAGATGGATGGTTGATGCTTTTGATGTGCTCTACTCGACTTTGACAATTCATCTAACGTGTCCACAGTTGCTTAAATGCAGAGACGTCGCACAGGATCATGAATTAACCCCCTACCTCTTTCAGTGAGAGATACTACCATCAGATCCCTCGGTCAACGTAGTCAAATGGCGCCTTCAGGTCAAGAAATACAGCTAGCGTCGGATATCAATAGGTGTACCTATATTTCGAGATATGGCTAAGGGTGACATTCATGGCCAGGTTTGAAACCACGATTTTCCCAGGTTTTCTGTTCATGCGCTGTATTTGGGCGTCTGACGATTACAGCACGTAGCATCTCAAATACTCTCTTCCTCAGATTGATTCATCTGTGATTATCATGAGAGGGTTCTCCTCTTATGAATACGGAGACTCCGCAACAGAACAGTTAAGGGTATCATTTCTGATTCCCATATGTCAGCTAATAGTGTAATCAGTCTAACTGGGGATCACCAATTTTTCTAAAATATCTCTGGTACGACTTCATTGGGATTTGCTATCTTCCGTTGCAGGTTATTTAGAGCCTTCTCAACTGTGGCTCATTGGTTCATGGAGATAACCAATGGGTCACGGGTTCGGACCCGGTTCCGACTATTCTTGTTTTATTAGTGAGGTGGTATCATTAGCCCTCATACACTAGATGTGACTGATAACCCTACTGCATAAATCTGCACAGGGTTGCTGAGTGCATCGCTCATTCATTCTCAATTTTTTCGAAATTTTGAGGTCCTATCTCAATGTTTTACTGAGGAAAAGACTTAAAAGTATTCAACTGAAGAATAACTGAAAGTCAGTTGAACTGTTCGCCGATTTGTCCCGTCCATCGTTCCAGTCTTCTATGCAAGAGAATCAGAGACTCATATTTCAGTGATATAGTACGAGAAAGAAAGGAAGAATGAGAAAGTGGTGAGAATCGTTATAGTGTTAAGATGAGGATAATGTGTGTATACATCTGCGCCACTGACATCGGTTCTCAACCATATTCCCTAGAGTCTCCAGTCACTGGTTTCTCTTGTCCCAAAGACCCCACCCCAACCACCTAGTCTGCATCGCCCCACATGGCTGAAACCGACAGTCAGAGACTTCATGCATTGGTGCTATGTCTTAGTCTGGCCACCTCGGGCCTTTTTCCAGCCCGCACCTATTTCGGCCAACATTGTGTGACGAGGCAATCGGTGACTAGGCATACGTAGTACGTGTCCCAACCACCTCAGTTGAGGAAGGTTCATAACCTCGTCAACTGATATACCTCTACTCCCTAAAACTCTATACCTGATATCTGCGTTGCTCACGTGGTGACACCACGGAATACGACCTACACTACGAAGGCAACAGTGGTCAAACACTTGAAGCATTCTCATATCTTCCACCATCAATGGCCATGTTTCACAGCCATACAGTAGAACAGAGTGGACTGCTGTGCAGTATACGCGACCCCTTAGTAGACAATCGGATATCATGGCGGCTCCATAGGTGGCGTAAATTGGCCAAAGCCAACCGAGCCTTTTGTATTTGTTCAGAGATTTCATCGACAACTGACCCATCAGAGCTGATCCTACTTCCCAGGTAAGTGAAGTGGTCGACACACTCAACCACTTCACTCTCTATTGTTAGCCGTGGCACTGCTGAATACCAATCCTGGAGCAGCAATTTGCATTTGAGTGGTGAGAAATGCATCCAAAACATTCTCAAACTACCGCTCAAAGTGTCCAGAAGACTCTGCATGTTGTCAGCTTCTTTACCTAACAGGACTGTGTTATCTGCATATTCTAGGTCTAACGAAAATCCTCCTGTGATTAGGTCAACGTCTGTGTAACCTGGTGACGACAGGGAGACCTCCATAAGAATATCTATGATGAAATTGAATAAGAATGGAGACAGCGGGCATCCTTGACGGAGACCACTAGACCCATCGAGTGAGGTCCAGTGACTAATCACAGTTGGGTTCTGTACATGTTTCTTACAAACAGCATAAATCCATGAACCTAGATGCCAGAATTTTACAGTTTGATCACACGAGGTTATCAATTTCATGTCATCTGATTTTAAGTAATGATTGGATTCCATCGATTTTTTCGGAATGTGGTTATCCAGGTAAAAGACTCAACATCACAATGTACTTTGATTTGTGATAGGTAGTTGTTGTAGGCGGTCAGCGGGGAAGCTTTGAAACGTAGGCGTAGTTCTAAGGAACATATGCATATTCAACCCATCGTCTCATACAATAAACAACTGCTTCATAATAATGATACCGACATCTCCCATTTCATGCACACCAGGATTGAATGACCTAAAGCCGAAACCATACTGGCAATGGATAAACTGTCCCATGCCCCAACCGAATCCTCCGTCAAAAACACCAATACTAGGCTCATTAGCGGAGGCATAGAATCCCTTCCACGTTTTCGCATGCTGATCATGAACTGATCATCCAGCATGAGAGCTAGACTGGATCGGCTATCAGCAATGGTCATTCATGGAACTTGGGAGCTAGGGATGAAATATTTGAGACAGAAATCCACCCATGGTATCCGACAATGATAGTGGCTATCTGCATGGGGAAGCTGACAGAATCGGAGCGATGATGAGCTCGAACCCCACATCCCCAGATCTGACAATATGGGCCTCACCTGAGTTGATGGTAGTCACTTCAGGATGCATAGAGAAAACATACCACAACGTTAATCATACAATCAGTGGTGATTTTAATTGCCGTGGAGAAAACCTATAGCTCTCCAGTAACATAAAGCAATATTCCTTTGTTCGTCCAGGCTACCATAATGAAGGCCTGAGGGATCATCTTGAAATGACAGTGACAGCACAAACCAGCGCAAGATAGCCTTTTTGGGCTGAATATACTGAAACTAGTAGAGTACCTTTAACTTCTTACAGCCCTAGGTAAGGTTTAATGCACATATCCGTATTCGACCTGTGATTCGATTAGCATTCTACCATCATCTTTTACAATAAGCAACTGCTTTATAATATTGATGCAGACATTTCCGGTTTCATGCAGTGATATGACGAAATGTATATTAAGATTACCGGACCACTTGGAAATTAGTATCAGTGATTCTAATCTACATAACTAATATAATCAGTGATCGTCAAAATGGAAAGAAGCGTTGTTATTGCTGAACCATATAGGCTTGTATTGTACCACCGTAAACAATTTCGCCTAAACCAAGATGCTAAATTTTAACCTTATACGTTGTAAATTTCCGTCGTTAATTGGACCAAATTGACCGGCCACTGTCGACACATCGGCTGCTCTGCGGATGCCTCCGTATTACCGGTATTTTCATTTTAGATATTAATGATGGCTAGCATTGGGGTCCAGGATGTGGATTTCGCCCTATTTGTGACTCATCACATAGATATACTTAACTCCCAGTTCAATTGTTTTCTGTTGTTTTGCTTTGAACTAAATATCTGTATGTACTTTTAAGGATGCTGTTGTCATCATTTGGAAATACAATTTCCTATCACATCGTAATATGCTCTATGTTTTTTAGTTGCAGAGATTAACAAATAATTGTATGACCATGGAATTGAGGACCCATATACAAGCGGATGATGAACAAACAACCACAGTTACCGATGTCTCCTTGAACACAGTAAGCAACATTACTGTTTCTTTCCTTTACAAAATATATATTGGTGAAATGTGAAGATTAGAACTGCTCAGAATGTGAAGCTGTAGCTCTTCGGTTTAGTTAGATGACTTTCAACCAGCGGTTCATGCGTTCGAATACCGCTTCGCCTCCCGACGTTTAAGCAAACGTGTAGTATTATCAGCGATTACACATAATAGGTACGGCTCAATATCTACCACACGAGTATGCACAAGGTTGCCAGTCGCATTTTTTTTTTGTTTTATCGTTCAGAATTTCGACGACTTACATTTTTTGCCACAAGAGATGTGATAGTAGAGAAGTAACAGATATAAAGTTTTGAACGCCATTAGGTTAGTCTTGTTATTTTCAAGCAATAGTTTCTAGTGTAAATACTCGCAGTGTGATAATCAGAAGACAATTTGGATCGAAAACGTATTTTCAATAAATTCTCGTCAGGTTTTACATTTACATTTACAAATTATTCAGTATAGTAGTTTGATACCGACGTGGTTCAGTTAATTCGAGTACAAGAATTAGGTGATAATAACAAAACGAAATCTCGAGAAGTTTATATATATTCTCAGTGGTCAATCCTTGTAGGTGTATGAATTGTGTGTGTGTGCAGGGATACAGGAAAATAAAATTGTCGCTTAGCGGTTAGGTAATAAAATATTAAAATTCCGGGTCAATTATGAAACTAGGGCTGAAAAATAAAATGACACTGATAAAAGTACAAACAGAGATAATATTTACATTTATCCGGGTGACCGGGACGAAATTTATTGTTATTGTATCTGCGTTAAAGGCCATAGGAGAGAAAAGGAACGGACAAACATCTTACGAATACATAAATTTAGTATGAAAAAATTTAATTGCTATGGCTTATGCTATGCTTAGCAATCCAAGTTTGTGATGGTACCTTGTAAACAATAGTAAATGCTGAGGTTTTGTCAACCTTATGCTCAGTATCTACTAGATAGGTGATTATAGAGCTTTTGATGAATTTCACTATTCATTTTCCTAACCACGCTGTATAGTGCTCAATGAAGCGATGACGGGCTTGCTGAGTCGTTCTACCTATGTAACTGTCTCTACTGGGGCAGTAAAATTTAAAAAGGCACATAGATGTGGCTAGATTCGGAAGCCTATGCTTCAACTGCATTGGCATCATACAGCGAGTAGTAAACTTAAAACAGCGTGGCAGCAAGGAAGGTTTGAAACTATACATTCACTGTACAATAAAGGAGCGACTCTCGTAGGTTTGCAAGTGGTACCTACCTCCATCTTGTAATCTACCTGTGAACTACAAATGAAATCAGTTGTTTCCAGAAGAGGAGCATGGGTAAAATATTATTATCTAATTGCTACGCGACAATTTTATTTTCCTGTATCCCTGCACACACACCCACTGAGAATATATATAAACTTCCCGAGATTTCGTTTTGTTATTATCACCTAATTCTTGTACTCGAATTAACTGAACCACGTCGGTATCAAATGACTATGCTGAATAATTTGTAAATGTAAATGTAAAACCTGACGAGAATTTATTGAAAATACATTTTCGCCTCAAACTCTATCCCCTAATGGTTTCTAGGTTCAAACCATGCTTTATTTTCCCCAGCTGAAGAAAAGAGTTGGTAACCTAAGCCATCATACAATGAACATGGCTCGACCTAATACAGCGTTGGGTTGCATCCGTTTTTTTAGCTTACTGTTTAACTTCGGCAAACAAGTCTATAGAAAGTCTTTCATATTCCTGGTTATCTCCGATCGTGTATATACAACCTAAATCTCAAACTTCTAGAGAGGCCGTCTTTGAAAGGTCTCAACCACATGTTCTACGGGCTCTGTGCTCACATGCTAAACCTTCTTTTCCTGGTACCTTAAGGAGAACTAGCCTTCCACGATGTGGAAAGCCAGGAAGTGTCAACCACTCGCACAGTCCCAACAGCAAACGAAATCCAGTCAACTTTAACTTATCCTCGTTAGCTTTTTCCTCTCCTTTGTATTCATTTCCTCATGCCAATGCTAAATCTCATACAACCTCTCACCTTGCGTCTACTGTCAATGATCCGAGACGTGTAAACACCATTCGTAGTCTTCTAACACCCCACCCTCTATTTCATTTCGGATTTTTCAACGTGAGAACCCTATGCCAAATTGGAAAACAGGCATGTCGAGCCATAGATATATTCTGTGTTTCTGAAACACGTATACAGAACCCGAATGTGGTTATTAAATTGACGTCAACTGGCCATAGTAGTGACTCTTCAAAATTCACCTTATGAGTATCTGGAGACTCAATAGCTAACTGTAGTGTACTCGGTGTTGTAGACATAGCATTGAGTTGTAGAGCAGAACGTCTACTTCTTAACTGGATTCCAGTCAACAGCTATCTATATTCTGTTCGACTAAATGGATCTGTAAGAACTAGGAAGGATCATGAGACTAACCAATGCTTGTTTGTAATCTCTACCTATGCACCCACCGACTTCGTTTATGATATGAAGGATGAACTTTATGGGAACCTGTCAATTTTGCTAGAGGAAGGAAAATGTTCAGATGTAATCATAATGGCAGGTGACTTTAACGCTGAAGTAGGGAAGCCGAGCCAGTCGGTAAAGTATCTTGGGCGTATTTACAGAATCCTATCCCAACGAACCGGCAACAGTGACCGTCTGTTGCAATTTCCTCTTGACAACCACTTGTTTTTGACCAGCACTAATTTTAGGCATAAGGAGAGACACTATCTGACGTGGCGTTCGCTGACTTCAAGCCAACGATGGACACGAGTAGATCATACTGCTATAAGCCATCGTTGGAGGGAATCGTTTGAGGATTACCGCTCTTCCTGGAGTACCATATTGGACCCCAATCATGCGCTAGAACGGGCACGTGTATGTCTGCGCCCTACTGACCGCAGGAAACAGGTGACAATAAGGCCGGTCTTTGCTTGATTGCTAGATGAGGACGTCAAGTAAGTATTTAGGAAGAGTTAGCTAAGCATTTTCTGAAAGTGATTTCACTGCTCATTCCTAGGAAACCTGCGTTGGTATCCAGTCTGCTGAAAAAACAACAGTAAAGAAAATTAGTAACGTACAAAGCAAGGTTAGCAAACGTCAGTGAGTTTTTGCAACGTCTTCGAAACTGATTGGTGGGAGAAGACTCGTTTCAACTTGCTGTGATCCCAGTGAAAGGTAAAGACACCTGCAACTTAAATTCACCAAATGTTCGCCATTGTCTGGAGCAATGGTGGGTGGCGAGAACGAGATAGATGGAGAAAGATTCAGCATTAGGTAATACCCTGGAATTATTCAGACCAGTTAAGGATATCGACAAAAGGAAGACGATGGTTAGTGGGATCGTCACCCAAAAACGATGGTACCCTGATATCCACAGGTGACACGGGCTAGCAGATGCCAAACGGGGCCTTCTATATCCCAGCTGGGATTTCGTCACCAACCAACCCGTTCAGACTGATGCAACTTCCCATGAACTAGATAGACAGTTGTATTTGTTGCGTGAAGGATAATGAATTAAGTTCATATAGCGTGATAGCTGGGTTATTTATACAATCTTTGTTAGTGGAGTTCTTATATCGGTAAGCCTGCACTTCTTTATTTGTCTCTTGCTGGCATAATTTGACTGAGACCGACTTTCTGATACTTTGCTCAAATTGTCGTGAGGATTAGAGATGCATATGTGTTCACCTTGCTTCATATCAGTCATCCAGAAAGAAACAGTCTTATCATATTCTAGCGTCTCTCTGTCAAATATTCCCTCCTATTTACTTCTACTTGGATCAGATTGAACATTCACAACAAGCCCGCCACACATCTACGATTCATAAAGCTTTTAACACACTATCTTATTCTCACTTAACTGTTCCGCTTTTTTTCTACTACCTCTACTACTAATTTGTATGTACAAAACATTCGTGATTGGTCTGATTTGATGAATATCAATCCCATGATCAAATGGGTTGACTTTGGCACCAGTCACCGGTTTCAACTGAATTCACGGAGTACCTTGAATGCATGCATAATCAAGTTATCAGTTATATCCTTTGTTCACTAGGTAGATGTTTCATTCACACCAAACGTAATGAAACTTGGGTAATATAATGTACCTGAAAACTTAAATCTTCTTCCACAGAGTTTGTAGATATACCAATAGATGAGCCCGAACGATAGCTGCTGCCCTGACACGGTGGTTGAGGTCGCATATCACAATGACCCAACGAACTATGCTGGTAGGACGCTTGATCCCTCGAGGTCTTACCATACCAGAAAGGTCTATTGTGTAATAGTTAGACAAAAGCAGTCACCAGTATAGTGTAAATTACCATAGTATAATGGGGGTCTCAGCGGTAAATGAAATTGCTGCCAGCTGGATGGAGTGTGACAACAGTAAGGTGTTTCCCTTGGATGACGAGCAGTGCCACGCTGAAGCTGCCTTCCTTATGTAACCTTCCTTATGTAACCGGCCTCAAGCAGATGTCCTTTGGGCTCTGCGGCCACGCGCAAACGCTTCTTTTTCAGGTACCTCATGAGGAACTAGTCTTCCTCGGTGGGGCCAGGCGGGAGGTGTTGACTGCGCTCGTAACTCTGCAGCACTCAGGATCCCTCATATCACTTTCAGTGGTTGATAACTCTTGGCGAGACGGCTAAAAATCGATCACAATGGCGCAGATGTATTTAATCTTTGGTATCTAAGCTTTCAATATTCACACTCGCCTGTATCCTGTGTATCCTGTCTCACATTACTTTATCTTCTTTCCTGTCATTCTTTTTCTATCCCCCTGTTCTTTATGTACTGTGAAGTGTGGCGACTTGAGCCGATGCACATGTGTGTGAGGTTCTACGTTGGTTTTGTCAGTCAGTTATTCGCGGATAGGCACCCCTGGTCTTCTGAAACCGCACTTAAAACTACACATTGGAGCTTTCAATGCTTGGAACCTCCGAAATATCTGCCAACAAGCTTCACTAGCCAAGACTGTAGGAACTCTGGCCATGGATCTGTGCTGTGTTTGTAAGACATGCATTCAGGACTCAAGTATGGTTATTCACTTAACCTCATCTGGCCAATTTGGTGAATCCGCAAAATTTGCCCTTAGAGCCTCTGGAGATCCAATGACCAGTTCTCGTGTTCTTGTAGGTGTAAGTATAACATTGAGCACTAAGGCAGAAGTTTGCTGCTTGACTGTAACCCAGGCGACTGTTGCCTATGTGCTGTTCGACTGAACGGCACAGCAATGACAAAAAGGAATAGTGAATTTCGCCACTATCTCTTTGCACCCACTGACTGCAGTTCCTAAGTGAAGTCTGAGTCCTGTCGGAAACTATCTAGCCCTCCTAATGAAAGCCCAGCACTCAGACGTGGTTGTTGCAGGTGATCTCCATGCACGAGTAGGTAGGCTGCTAGACAGAGAGGCACTCAGGTGGCACTTTCAGAGTTGCAGCCGGACGAGATGATGATGGCGATCGCCTACTACAACTGTGCTCAGATAACTGTTTGTCTCTAGCCAGCCCAAACTTCAGAAATAGTGAGAGAGACATTGTCTGACGTGTCGTTCACCTAGCTCATCTCGGCGAGGAATACAGGTAGACCATATTGCTATCAGTCATCGCTGGAGAGGGTCGGTAGTAGACTACCGCTCCTTCTGGAGCACGTGTCTGAACATCAACCACCCATTGGTTCGGGCGCGCGTATTTCTGCGTCTCAATGGACATGGGAAAGCTTTAGCAACAAGACCATTGAGATTGCATCTTGATAAGGAGAACACTAAGGCTGCTTTCAGTGAGAAACTGGCTTGATACTTATTGGAACAGAGCAATTTCGCTTATCGAGAAACTTGGTACCATCTCCAGTCTGCTGTGAAAAAAGCGTTGAAGAGCGTAGCCGACTCTCGAAGAGTTTAAAAAGAGTCAGGGGATGTCAGCCACTTCTTGTGAATTAATGAATGCACTCAAACGCAACCCTGCAGGCTCCAAGTATTGCGAATGCAAATCAAACGGAGACCGACAAAAGGTTCATGCAATGACTGTGAACAGTGGTGGGCAGTGAAGACTAACGAGATGCAAAAGCAGCGGTAATAGGTAACAGTAGATAGTTACTTAGACTTATCAAGGAAGAGTTCAGCGAACAATGAGACGATGAAGGAGAGGAATAGGTATGCGATTCACTCGCAGGGGAGACGACTGGAACTATGGGCGGGACAGTTCGTTAAACAATTTAATTGACCTCCAGATACTGTTTCGTTGCTCACTATCTAGTTGAAGCCCGAATAGAACAACGGGATAGGATCCCTAACACTTTCAAAAGTCGAGAAAACTCTGAGTAACCTGAAACTAAGTGCAGCAGGGGAAGATAGACTAGTTTCAGAGGTATTTAAAGACAGTGGTCAAGCGTTTTTAGTCAAGTTAATTGTTAGCTAGTGTATGGGAGTCAGATACGATCCCTTCTGATTGGCTTCAATCATTGGTTGTCCCAGTCTTCAAGAACGGTGAGAAGTCCTCCTGTTATAACCACAGAGGAATCAGTCTGGCGAGTATATTGTCTATGATTTTAGGTTCTATGATCACCAGAAGTCTAAGTGGAGCTCGAGAACAGAAAGCCCGAGAAAGCTAGATAGGCTTCAGTTTTTGACCGTGGGTGTACTGACCGGATATTCACACCCCTCCAGGTTCCGGAACACAGGCCTACTTATCGATGCATGACACTAGCTGTATTTCTCGACCTGAAGGTAACATTCTACTCCATCGATGGAGATGCCTTATGGCAGTCTCTTGTTGGAAGAGCTACCCACTAAGTACATCACCCTGTTAAAGACCCTTTACTCAAACACTTGTGAATGTGTCAAAGCCTATGGTGAATTAACAGGTGAGCTGTGTACACTGGATGGTCTTCCCATTCCTGTTCAATTTTTCCATAAATGTTCTTATAGAGGTCTCCCTCTCGTCATCTGACATCGCAGGGATTCATCTGATCACTGGAGAATCCTTGGTACATCGAGAATACGCAAATGACATAATCGTGCTGGGTAAAGATACTGACAAGATGCGAAGTCTTCTGGGCCTCTTGAGGGGCAATTTGAGAATGTTTGGTATGGGTTTCTTGTTACTGAAATCCGAATTGTTGCTCCAGAACTGGTCTTCAGCAATGCCCAGTCGAACGTTAAAGAGTGAAGCGGTTGAGTGTATTGACCACTTCACTTATCTGGGAAGTCAGATTAATCCTGATGTATCAGTTGCCGATAAAATCTCTGCACAGATATAAAAGGCTCGATTGGTTATCGGCAATTTAAGTCATCTGTGGCACTCCCGCGATATCTGATTGTCTACTAAGGATCGAGTTTACTATGCTGGAGTTCATGCTGTTCTACTCTATGGCTGTAAAACGTGGTCATTGTAGGTGGAAATAAAAACGAGGTTCCTGTTGTTTGATTACCGTTGCCTTCGTGGCATAGGCCGTATGTCATGGTGTCACCATGTGAGTAAAGTAGAAGTCATTTGTAGAGTTTTAGGGGGAATGAAAAGTCATTTGATACGGTTATGAACCTTCATTAACTCAAATGGCTGGGACTTTTGTTACACAGGCCTAGTCGCCGTGTGACTCGTTCCACAATGTTAGCTGAAATAGGCTCAGGCTGGAGAAAGGCTTTTGAGCAGTCGGACTAAAACATACCACCAGTGAATAAAGTCTTTGACTGTTTTTGTGAGCCATGTAGAGAGATGCAGACTAGCCGGTTGGGGTGGACGTGATAAGAGAAGCTAGTGGTTGGAGACTGTGATAGGGCTCAGGATCAATGTCAGTGCGCAGAGATCTATACACACATTATCTTCATCTTAACCGCTGTGCTGAATTCAGCATTTTCTCATTCCTCTTTCACTCTTTTCTGCTAATTTTGACCGATTTTTTTCTCTTCCTTTATCTTTCATTTTTCTACTTTGTTATTTGTCGTAGTAATATGAGGTGTGGCAACTTGAACCGTTATGCAGTAATGCCTGATCCTATGTTGATATTAATTTGATTGATTGACCAATTGATGAGGAGAAAATAGGAGTAGGTAGCACTTTTTTTAAAAAAATGTTGATTACCGATTAAAATAGTTTTTAGAAAATAGTCAAACAAATATATTTGTGTTCTTCACGATTAAACCATTCATCTCAGAGAACACAATACAGTCTGAGCTACAAACATTCTCTACCATTTCAATATATGTGACTAGTTTTTTTTTCATTTTAGAATAAAATCAAATTATTACAAATGGGATTAAAAAGTTAATGTTAGCGATTTATTTCACCCGTGATCACATTTTCCAATAGATTTCGTATGCATAGACTCCAATACTAATCTTTCTTTTTGTATATTCTCATCAGAATTCAGTTTTTCGCCGTTGTTTCAATTATTAGCATGTTTCGCATCCTTTATGTGAGCTACTATCGATGAATTCATTTTTACAAGTGTTTTTACTCTGATTATTGGACGCGCGTTTCGTCCTATTTCAGATCTGTCAGTGGGAAAAACATCACTCACTGGGGTGCAGGTACATCCAGCTGACGAGTCGTGAATAGGACGACGGAATTCGCGTCCTGGATTCCTCTGCTAGCCACAACCAAGTGAATTATCATAATTAATATTCAAGCTATATCAAGGCATCCTTAGAGAGGAGCCCATATGCCAATAGAGGTCAAACAATTCAATCCAGTAAAACAACGGAGAATTACAAGCACATCAATAAATAATAATGTTTGTATTCTCTTTAAACTGTGTCAGCTGACTGCTTTGGTGGTCTATCAGAATTTCGATTCAAATTTATTTACTATCTTAAAAGATGGCCAAAAGAAATCTGTCAGGATTGTTGCTTTGTTATATATCAGCTAAACAAAAGCGGTAAAACTAGACAATGGTCAATGGATCAACTGAATCTAAGTGTCTCTGTCTGCCTACACATGTTTGTTTACTATTCAGTCTTAACATTTAAGTTACTGCTGATGAAATTAACTTTTATGAGTTGAATGATTTTATTTCAATTTCTAGCCTCTGTTAATTCGTGGAGTTGAGAATTGTGAAACACCAGCTGTCAATGCTACTAACATACCTTCTTCATCCTCCCCCTGTCATGGACCAGCAATTCGATGGGCTGATGGTACAGTGGATAATGAATTTATGGGTAGAAAAAAGTCGAATTGTTGTTGCATTTATGAAAAGCCTAGACGATGGAATGAATCATCCAGTTCATCTTCGGATTCAGAACATAGTTCAAATCCAGATGATCATGGCAATAAGCAGAAACCAATTCGACATGTACAATGTACAGAGAATTGTCGAGGACATACAAAACGCTGTTATCGTAAGAAGAAAACAAAGCTTACTGAAAATGCAAATTCTGAACACCAGTCGACAACATTACCTGACTCATGATCGAGTTGTTTGCTTTGATTTTGGGGGACATTCAGCTGACAATAAATAAGCCAGTTAGTTTACTGACTGTTGTCAGTTATATATTTTCTTTTCACTTACAAGAGAAGCAGGTACATTTCACTTGATCTATGCATACTGTGAATTTCTTATCATTATGTGAATATCATTCATGTTTTGCCTTTGTGTATGCTTTATAAGCGTACATATCTTAGTTAATTGTAAAAAATACAGACATTGAACAATAAGCAGCCATGTTAAGTAGCTGATTTCTTCTTTGGTAACAAAGGGTTTTGTTGTCCGTACATGTTATCCTACTGACTACCAAGCCCGAATCTGTCAGTAAATTCCCAGTACCACATTACACCTTTCAACAACTTGTTTCACCATCAAGTAGACTAGTGATCATTTCTAGTGAAAACTTCCTTTAGTGTTCTAGTGCCATCTGTTTCTGCTATGTGCTTAAACATGGACCCAAGTAGTTTATCTTTATCATCTTTAATAAGACGTGTAATTGATCTAACCTCACCTGGTTACTCAGTGAAGAGTAAATAAACGGAATGTAAAACAAAGCATTTAGGTTTCATTATGTTTCGATGATTATTGGGCTATGTTTCGAGACATGTTAGTGACAGCTTACAATTTCGTATTAGATCAAATTATTACTCTACATAGCATATGTTGATACATTTTTATTTGCTGAATGACGATTGAAGTACTACATGAGGAGATAAAAATACCCGTAAACACGGTTACGAACAATATTAAACAATCTACAAGTGGTCTAATACACCAAATGAAGCCATCTCAGGGTGACTTTCAGTGGTTAGATTTAGTGCCGAAAACTGATGACTCACGTATTAAGTATCTTGCAGTTGAGATTCGTAAGGTGGGTTATCTTATTAGACAGATAGTTGACCGACATATTAACCATCTAAATATTTAAGCGCGATGTCATATCATATCTCAACCGATAGCTGCTAAATCGACATGGTGGTCAGGCTTGCATATCACTATGACCCAACGACGTGTGCTGGTAGGACTCTTGTTCCCTCGAGGTCCTACCACATCAGAAAGGTCTATTGGACAGTGGTGAGACAAAAAGCAGTTGCCGTTGTAGTGTAAATCACTACAATATGATGCGGTTCTGAGAGCTATGTCGTACTGCTGCTAGTTGGATGGGGTGTGACAGTAGTGAGGTGTTTCCTTTGGATGACGAGCAGTGTCACGCTGATGTTGCCTTCCTAACGGGAAGATGAGGGAGTTAGAAAAGTTCGGCCCCCCAAAACAGCACACCACCTGCCCCACGGCATTCCGGTGCCGGCAGTACAGGTTCTGCTTATTCGATGTTAGAACAACTAAACCTCAAAATAAAATCCCACAAAAGACCGCGTGTGACTGACCTCAAGCAGATGTCTCATGAACTTTGCGGTCACAAAAATCTTTTTCTCTTTCAGGCAACTTAAGAAGAAGTAGCCTCCCACAGTGTAGGCCACCGGAAAGTGTCAACCACCCGCACACTTCCAGGCATAATGAAACAACCTATCCTACTCAACCCTGTCTCTTTTTTTGCCTTCACCTCCTGATGTCAATATTAAGACTTACACCTTCAGCGTCTCACTCTCTGACAGTTATCGACGACTGAAGCCATAAAAACTCATTTCCAATCTCCTAAGACTCCACCATCGATTTCATGTAGGAGTTTTCAACGTCCTAACGAGGACAGCAAACATCGCTCGCCAGAATTCTGGAATCTCTACCGATAGATGTGTGCTGTATCTCTGAGACACGTATACAGAACCCGAATGTGGTTATTAAATTGACGTCAACTGGCCATAGTAGTGACTCTTCAAAATTCACCTTATAAGTATCTGGAGACTCAATAGCTAACTGTAGTGTACTCGGTGTTGTAGACATAGCATTGAGTTGTAGAGCAGAACGTCTACTTCTCAACTGGATACCAGTCAACAGCTATCTATATTCTGTTTGACTAAATGGATCTGTAAGAACTAGGAAGGATAGTGAGACTAACCAATGCCTATTCGTAATCTCCACTTACACATCTTCTGACAGTGGTTCGGATGATGTAAAGGATGAATTTTATGAGGATCTATCAATTTTCCTGTAGAAAGCAAAACGTTCGTAAACACTCATAATGGTAGGTGGCTTCAACAGTAAAGCAGATGGAAAGACATCTTGGGGGCACTTATGGAATCCTATACTAATGAACCGACAATGATTATCGTCTGTTGTAAATTTGTTCCACCAGCAGTAAATTTAGACATAGGGAGGGACAGTGTCTCACGTAGCTTCTGCCGACTTCAGACTAACGATTACGTAGGTAGGTCATATTACTATAAGCCGTCGTCGGAGCACACCAGTGGAGGGTTGCCGCTCGTTCTGGTGTACCAGAATGGACTCTGATCACGTGCTAAAATGAGCGCATCCAGAAAACAGTTAGCTAAGCATTCATCTGAACGTGACAGTAATGCTCATCCTGAGGAAATCTGGCGTGATATCAAGTCTGCTGTAGAAACAGCGATAAAGACGATTGGTAACCTACAAATGAAGATTAGTGGACGTCATTCGATTTCCGGGACGTCATCCGAGCTGGTTGATGCGAGAAGATAGATTCCAACTGGCGATGACCACAATGAAGATTAGATACAACTTAAACGTGGATCTGCCGGAAGTCTGCGCATTGATCCTGAGCAATGGGTGTTGAAAGCAGGAGAGATGGATAAGCCATCAGTGTTGGATTACATGCGATAGCTATTTAGGCTTATTAAGGATACCGGCAAGGAGAAGACGATGGTGAGTGGAACCATCACCGGAAGTATGGGACACTGATAACCTCTCGGGACAGACGGCTGGGACGTTGGACAGAACACTTTGATGCGCCGTTCAACTGTCCCTCAGCAACGCTTCAGTTGTGCAGCATTTAGCCTGAACCTGAATGGGACGTAGATGTCGGGCTTCCAACTCTCCTTAAAGTTGAGAGGACTGTATCGAACGTGAAACGATGCAAAGCAGCAGGACGTGACTGTTTGCCACCTGAAGTTTTCAAGGATGGAGGTAGAAAACTGCTGATTAAAGTGACGCAGGTACTAGGTAATGTATGAGAATCAGAGGCAGTGTCATCAGACTGGTCTACTTCTCTGATATTCTTAGTCTATAAGAAGAGAGAGAAATCTTGTGGCAACCATAGAGGAATTAAGTTGACTAATATTATGTCCAAGATCCGATCCCTAACTGGAGCTCGAGAAAACCAAGCAGGTGTCATATAGAGCTGGACGAGGGTGTGTCTATGAGATGTTTACCCTCTGACAGGTTCAGGATCATAGGCATACTTCCCAGCAGCCGACACTTGCCATACTTCTTGACTTGAAAGCAGCATTTGACTCAGTCGACCATGAGTTGTTGTGGGAGTGTCTGAATATGAAGGAAGTACTGAGTAAGTATATAACGTTAATTAAAGCTCTCTACTTGAGCTGACACAGTCGTTTTAGGGCTTATGGAGATTTGTCATGTGAATCGACAATAACTAGTGGTGTCCACCAAGGATGCCCACTGCCACTATGCCTATTTAACTTCCTTATAGACGTACTAATGGTACGTCTGCTGCAAGTACTCCCAGTTTAATGATAGGGAGTGAGGTATTGGAATGTGTTGAACGCTTCATTTACCTGGGAAGTTGCATCAACCCAAATGGGTTGGTTCCTGATGAAATCTCAGCTCAGACATTTAAGGCCCGTTTGGCATTTGCGAACTTGCGTCACCTGCGACACTGACTGGTGAGATATCTATCAAAGGACGCGTATACCGTGCTGCAGTCCATTCTGTCCTGGTGCACGGCTGTGAGGCATGGTCGTTGAAAGTAGAAGACACAAAGTGATTACTGGCTTTTGATCACGGGTGTCTTTGTAGCATTGCTCGCGTTTGGTGGGATCACCATGTGAGCAATGTTGAGGTCAATCAGGCAAAGACATTCAGGTCGATTGATGAGGTCGTCAACCCCCATCGACTGAAATGGCTTGGACATGTGTGCGCGTGCCGAGCCACCGCCTACATCGACGTGTCGTACCAAGGTAAGCTGCATCAGGTTAGAAGAGGGTTCAGGGTGACTAGACGAAGTTGTGGCACTAGTCGATGAAGTCCCTAACTGTTGGTCTGAGCTGTGTGGGGAGATGTAGACCTCCTAGTTGGGGTCGTCGAGACGAAAGCAATCACTGGTTGAGGACTCTTTGTGACATGTATGGAAATCGGTCACAATGGCTATTATGTATTCACTCTTCAATGCTTTCATGCCTCACATCATCTCACGCTATATCTGTCAACGTAAACTTGGTTGTGTTCAAAAGATTGGGTTATGCATCCGAAGATTTAAAACCGGAACTCAGGCATTTAAATCGACATAACTACTTAATAACTGCCATCGGGACTCTATCAACAAGTGTTAAGTGACCTGGAAGAAGAAAAGAAATAACAGCGTAGTTGGTAATTGCAATACACCCTGGAAAGGACTCGAATATCGTGCAGTATTGTTATTTGAAGAAGATACATCTGCGTGGTATTCTTAAAAATATTGAGATGGCATTGAAAGCCGTAAACTGAAACACAAAACATTTCAAGTTGGTATTCAACACGAAGTGACTTCATTTGGAGTAGTGTTGAAAATCTGGGAACCCTGGACACCTGTTTCACCCCAGTATGGGATTCCTCAGCATCTTTTTTATCCTTAACTATACGAGGGATCACAAACTGACAGAAGTAAGAAAATGTGGATCATCAGATTCCGATACAGTGGTTTAAAGGTTACGTGCTAGTGTCGGAACATAAATATCTTGACTTGGATCAGCAGCTGTTCGGGGTCATGGGTGCACACTGCTGAGAATTACCATACAGCTGTATAGTACTCATTGGTTCCGCAAATGATGTCAGTCCGTGTTGAATGCCAACTTGAAATAAATAAATAAATCCCTACAAACATCCAAATTGAATCA